CCTGGGAAATTACAAAGAAAATAAAGACAGAACACTGTTCAAATGACTTCAGAATTTGTGTATTTAAATTTGTAAGGCGTGAGAAAAGAGTGTATAGCTCTCATTTTTGAGCTACTCTAGATATTTATGCATTTGAAAACTCAGGTACCACTTAGGGATGTGTGAGGAGGGACTGCTCAGCTCCCAGCTCCAGCAGGAGAGTTCCCAGTTGCGGGTGGGAGGGCAGGTGTGTCTGTTCTCTCCAAAGGCAAACTAAACCTGTCCGTTGAACCCAGCTCACCAATAACTGGGATCCAAACACATTTGCCCCAGGACTGTGCGGCCTGAAGGGCAAAGCCTGCACAGACACACTCTGAGCCTGACCATTGCCAGTGAGGCAATACCTTTGTTAGGAAGCAAGCACAGTTCTGATGTGGGCAAACAAGCCCTTTGTGGCTGCTTTCACCTGTATTTGGTCCACCCAAAAATCTTTCAAAAGGCAACTTCTAGGTGTTCCACTGAGGAAATGGGAGCGATCAAGAGCTGCACCCGTGGGAAGAAGGTGGGACAGTGCGAGAGCTCAACCTCCGGGGAGAAAATGAGAGTCAAGGGCTGCAGCAAGGGGAGGTAGATGGGAGAAGAAGAGAAGAGCTGCACTTGGCAATGGCACCAGAGACCTTCTGGGTAAGGACTGAGGGACAAACCAAGGAAGCGGGTGGGTTTGTGTTCACACGGGAGGCTGCTCTTGACAACTCAGGCAGGACGATGACACACAGGAACTTTAAGGTAGATCCATTTGCTGACAACACGCAGATTTTATTTGATGTAGACTTTATTTACAATAAATGTGAGTTAAATCGATAGGTAGAGATAATGGATACTTATATGGAAATGACAGTAAATTTCTTATTCCTTTTTTGTGCCTTTTGGACCCCAGGTACAAGAGACTAGCATGATAAAATTTGCTTTCTATCTGAAACAGGGGCCATGTGTGGGGGCAATGGCTGAGAGCTGAGGAGTGATGTCTGAGGGTGATAGCAAGAATGGCGGTGACTGAGGGTGAGGGCTCTGAGGGCCAGGGCTGCTGATGAGGGCACTGAGTCCTCTCTCCGTGTCTCCCCTCGCCTCTCTGGAACCACAGAGAGAGCCTGGTGCCAGGGCTTGGTCAAAATGGTTCTTCTTCTGGGTCGCTCAATAGAGGGGGCTCACAAGCTGCATGTAACCTGGAATGTGCATCCTCCTGAAACCCACAAGGCCTAGGAAAGCTTGTGTTTCCTTCTTGTTAGCCGATGGAGACATAGATTCCATTTTGTTAACTACATCCATGGGCACTTGACAGCGTCCATTCTGCCATTTTATTCCCAAGAACTGAAGCTCCTGTGCAGGTCACTTTACCTTACTTTGTTTTGTGGCAAGACCAGCTTTGAAAAGAATTTGGACTATTTCTCTCCCTTTCGTAAGGAACTTCTTCTGCTGTTTTGCCCCATACGATGATATCATCAATATATTGCAGGTGTTCTGGAGCTGCCCCCTGTTCCAGTGCAGTCTGGGTCAGTCCATGGCAGTTGGTTGGGCTGTGCTTCCACCCTTGGAGCAGTCAATTCCAGGTATCCTGGACACCCATACAGCTGAAGGCAAACTGTGGCCTGCACTCTGTTGCCAGAGGAATGGAGAAAAACGCATTGGCGTTATCAGCTGTGGCCCCACTGGGCTGCCTTTGACTCCAACTCATACAGAAAATCCAACGTGTCTGGCACAGCAGCACTCAGAGACTTCATTCAGGCCACAATAGTCCCCTGTCAACCTCCACTCCCCACACTGGCCATATGGGGCTGTTAAAGGGTGAGTGGGTCCTGCTGATCTCTCCCTCTTTCTCCAGTCGATGAATTAGTTCCTGAATGGGAATTATGGAGTCCCGGTTGGTGCGATACTGCTGTCGGTGCGCTGTTCCGGTGCCAATGGGCACTTGTTGGTCTTCGACTTGCAGCAATCCTACAAGGGAAGGATCCTTTGAGAGGTCAGGCAGGGTAGATAATTGTTTGACCTTCTCTGTAGACACAGTAGCTACACCAAAAGTCCATCGATAGCCCTTTGGATCTTTGAAGTATCCCCTCCTGAGGTAATCAATGCCAAGGATACGAGGGGCCTCTAGGCCGGTCACAGTGGGGTGCTGTTCCCACTCGTCCGCTGTTAAACTCACTTCAGCCTCCAGTGCTGATGATTCCTGGTCACTCCAGAGATCCAGATGGGTTCTGCACTTCTGTGCCTCAATGGCATCAGTGTGCACTGTGCACGTGTATCTGCCAAAGCTCTGTACCTCTGTGGATCCAATGTGCCAAGCCGTCAAATCCACACAGCCCAGTAGAGCCGATCATCCCTTTCCTCCTGGCCAAAGGCAGGCACCCTCTATTCCTGTTCCTGCTCAGAGTATTGACTGACTGGCCTTGACGATGCCAGATCAGAGGTCCCCTCACCTCAAAGGATCAAACGAATTGGTCTCAGTCCTCTTCCGTCTGAGAGGTCACTGATTTCTTCCTTGGGTCTCTGTGGCAACTCCATGGACAGCTTTCCTGGGTGCCCCCTTCTTAACAGTTCTCTTGCCTCTTAATTCACCTACTTGGGCTTCCAGCTTACAGGTGGGTTCACCTTCCCACTTCTTCATGTCTTCCCCCTGGTCACGCAGAAAGAACCAGAGTTCACCACGTGGCCTGCACCTGGGGCTTCCTTTCCCTCTGCCTGGGGCAGGAGGGGACCAATCTCTTGGGCTGCCCCTGGGAGCTGAGGTGCTGGCCTGTGGGAACGAGGAAGCACCCAGAGTTTGTTCTACATTTTGAAGCCAGGAGGACATCACCTCTACAGTTGGTGGATCCATCTTTGGGTAAGAGAATGTTATCAGACTGTTAGAGCATGACGCAGGGGCGCTTTGAACCACCTCCCTCCACATGGCCATCGTGCAAGGAACATCCTGTGGGTCTTTGGGGTGTCATCCCTTCTTCAGTTACTAGAGATGATTTCCAGCACTGCTACTTTTCTCAAGTACTGGATACCTTGATCTGCAGTGGCCCACTTTCCTGAGGCGCTCATTAGATCGTCCTTGAAGGGAGACCTTTCCCTCACGCCTGAGAGGAGCCATCTCTGAAGACTGCAAATTGTTCTCTCCTTTCCAATTCCTCTTTCAATGTTGCCATCTCTAGCAAGGGATCCCAGTTGTTGGGCTTCATGACCTTCCAGTTGTTGACTATCAGCCCTTTTGTCCCAGCATCAAAGCAGCCAGGTAGGAATCCCTTCACAGGGCTGGTAGCTGTGATCTTTCCACAAGTCCTGGAGTTCTGAGGAGGTCAGGGACTGGGTAACCTCGGTTTCCTGTTTGATTTGTCTGACTGATGCTGTGCTCAGCAGTAGCCAAAACACCGGTGTGTTATCAACACCCTTCTAGTTGCCAATGCAAAGCCCAGCACTGTGAGGGCTACTGTGGGGAAATGAACTCCACCTCAGCCAGGCCCAATACACCATTCTACAAACCCAGGCTCAGAGGCTGGGTTGTTTCTTTCAAAAAAAAAAGCAGAGACACAATGATATTTATTCCTGATGTGCATTCCCAAATAAAGAACGTGCCCAAACTCACAGCCCCACTCCGCACACACACCTGCTGGCATGCTCACACCTGTGCCCAGCACCCCTGTGCCCACTACACCTGTGCCCAGCACACCTGCCCCACAGCCCCGCACCAGGGCCCTCAAGGTGCACAGGGCTGTTGGAGCCAGTGCCCTGCACGCCCCTGCTTGCAGGAGCACACAGGTCCCCTGGGTGCCCCCCACACACATCCCCTCCCCCGAGTGCTGCGCTTGCCCCCATGCCCTGCACACCCACGGCCCATCTGCACGTGCCACAGGCTCCCGGCAGGACCCTGCATGGGCCTCCTGTTCCCATGTGTTGGAATCCAAAACTCAGCTATCAGCAGGAGGAAAATTGACAGGATCAATCAGAAGCCATGTACAGCAGGAGCTAAGAGACTCCTTGCTTTGAGAGCCAAAAAGCCTCATCGTTGTTAATATTTGGCCATGTTTAATCCTACTATCTCCTTCAGCAACACATGGAAAGACTTTTTGGTGATCTTTTCAAACATGTAGAAACCCTTTTGTTCTCTTCCTCCCATGCGGTCCTCGCTTTGGGAAAATATTAACCACTTTATGTAATAGCAGTAGAAAATTGTGTCACCCTTTAATTAACATAACTCGTCTCCCTCATTAGCATACCCCGCCTACGAGACCCATTTATTGCAAATCGTGTGTTCAATAAAGCGTTCTGGTTTGGACCCCCAAAACTGGAATCCTTTGGTTATTTGGACCTTTGCACCCACGAGCATGGCCCGCACAGCGGTGCCCGCATGGCACCTGTTCCTGAGCATCACCCTTGGCCTGGACCCTGCCCACACATCCTGCTGGCACAGCACCCTGCTGCCCGTGGCACCCATACACATCCTGCTGGCACAGCTCCCCCTGGCACCCGCACACAGCCCTGTAGGGATGGGGTGCTGAACCAGCAGCACTAGCTCAGGGAAGTGCCTGGACTCAAACGGACTCAAACCTGTTCACCGGCCACTTTATTTTGGTAGAACACTTTGATAATAAGAAGGAGCACCTGGAGGGAGGGGAGAGACTGTTTTGCCCTGTGCTTTCTGCAGCACTTTATGCTGGCAGGACATTCCCCACCAGAGCCAGGGCTCTGGGCACAGTGGGGGCTACAAGTCCACAAATGCTGGGGCTGCCCGGAGCCACTTCCCGTCCTCTCCACTGCCCACAGGGTGCCAGGTGACGCAGGTGCCTTTCAGGGCATCTTTCACAGATCCCTTTGTGAGGCGGGATGTGGTGGTACCTGGAGACCCTTGTGACATCACAGAGCCCCGCCCTGCCCCAGGCGTATCTAAGGGGCACAGAACCCTGGGGTGTCCACTCCCAGGAGAGCCGCGCTCTTAGGAGGAAGCAGCTCCCTGCATCCCTCTTCAGCAGAGGACGACAGAGATGGATGAGGACAAGGGCAACCCCAACTCCCAGCCACCCAGCCCCTTGCCCAGCTGGCTAGAAGATGAGGCACTCAGCGGGCAGTGGCTGGGGGCAGTGGGCGGGTCAGACCTGCCACTGTCAGAGACCGAGGAGGGGGCCTTTGCCCACATGGATGATGACTGGATATATGAGACCGATGAAGACCTTTTCCAATGCGCAGATGTTACCGCATGGGAAGAAGACGTGACGCTCCAGGAGCTTTACCGATGGAAAGAAGAAGTGAGAGTCCAGGAACGTTCCGAACGGGGAGACAGAAGACACCGAGAGCTCTACGAATTTGAAGATGTGAGAGTCCGAGCACTTTCCCAAAGGCGGGATGGGAGACACCCAGAGCTGTACCAATGCGAAGAAAGCGTGAGATGCCAGGAGCTGCACGAATGGGAGGAAGGTGGTGTGAGATACCACGAGCTGACCCAATGGGAAGAACATGTGACAGTCCAAGAGGTGCCCCAAAGGGAAGAAGAAGAGACATATCAAGAGCTGTCCCAATGGGGAGATTTGAGAGGCCAAGAACTTTCCCAATGGGGGGATGTGGAAGTCCGAGAGCTGTCCCAGCGGGAAGGTGGGAGATACCGTGACCTGCCGCAGTGGGAAGAAGATGTGCAAGGGCACAGACTGTACCAATGGAAAGACAAGAGAGACCCAGAGCTCTCCCAAGTGGGAGACAAGACAGACAAGAAGCAATCTCAGGAAGAAGACTACAGTGCCCAAGAGCTGCCCCAAAGGGAAGATGGGAGTGAGAAAAAGCTGTCCCAGTGGGGAGACGATGTCAGTTACAACACCTGGGACAAATCCTGGCGCCAGGTGAACGCTGGGGATGCCCAAACTGCTGCCCAGGACGGGCCCAGCTCTGCCAGCAGCATGGGCACAGAGGTGGCAGCAGAGGCAGCCCGTGACCTGCCCAGCCCAGCTCCTGCCCTGGTCAGTGCCATGGATGCTGTGCCGGCAGCTGCTGCCCCAGCCGGAGCTGCTGAGGAGGAGGAGCCCCAGGGACCTCTCGCTCCTGAGGAGGAAGAAGCAGAAGGTTCTCCAACCTTTGGAGAGCAGGTGCCATCAGCAGGGACACAGAGCCAGATCCCTGCCCCACGGAGCCCCTCAGAGGGCAGTGAGGCCCTGCTGGACACAAACCAGTACATCACCAGTGAGATTGTGAGGAAGGCTGTACTTGTGATCCAGGAATCAAGCCAGCAGCCGAAGGAAGAGAAAAACCACGAACAAACCGTGGATACAGACATGGTGACAACTGTTCCAGTAGAACAGACAGAGAGCCCAGTCCCTGCCCCACAGAGCCCCCCAGAGAGCAGCCAGGCTCTGCTGGACATGGTCAAGCTCATCATCACCGAGATTGTGCAGAAGGCTGTGCTTGTATTCCAGGGATCCGACCAGCAGCTGGAGGAACAGAGGGTCCTAGAACAAAGCACGGCTACGCTCAGCCCCTCTACTGCCAGCCTGGAAGCCCAGGCCCTCAGTGAGCAGCAGGAGGAGGCAGAGGGGGGATCATTCGTGGCAGTGCAAGAGACCAATGAGGGGGCATTGGCTGGGGAGGAGAACGACTGGGTGTCTTGCACGGACGAAGACCCATCTGAAATAGAAGGTGAGAGAGACACAGAGCTGTCCCAGGGAGAAGGGGATGTCACCTCTAATATCTGTGACAACGCCTCGGACCTAGGGAATGACGACGAGGGCCCCGAGACTCTTCCCCAGGAGGGGCCCAGCTCTGCCAGCAGCGTGGGCACAGAGGTGGCAGCAGAGGCAGCCCGTGACCTGCCCAGCCCAGCTCCTGCCCTGGTCAGTGCCACGGATGCCGAACGGGCAGCTGCTGCCCTGGCCGGAGCTGCTGAGGAGGAGGAGCCCCAGGGGCCTCTCTCTCCTGAGGAGGAAGAGGCAGAAGGTTCTCCACCCTTCGGAGAGAAGATGCCATCAGCAGGGACACAGAGTCTGGCTCCAGCCTCACACAGCCCCTCAGAGAGCAGCGAGGCCCTGCTGGACACAAACCAGTCTATCCCCAGTGAGATCATGAGGAAGGCTGAGCTTGTGATCCAGGGATCCGGTCAGCAGCCAGAGGGACAAAGAAACCTGGAACAAACTACTGCTACAGAAACGGTAGCAATAGTTCCAGCAGAAAGGACAGAGAGCCCAGTCCCTGCCCCACAGAGCCCCACAGAGAGCAACCAGGCTCTGCTGGACATGGCCAAGCTCATCATCACCGAGATCGTGAGGAAGGCTGTGCTTGTGTTCCAGGGATCCGACGAACAGCTGGAGGAGCAGAGGGTCCCAGAAGAAAGCATGGCTACAGCAATGGGAACAACAATTACAGCAGAAGGGACAGAGAACCTGGTCCCTGCTCCGCACAGGCCCTGCAGCCCCCCCAGCCCCTCTACTGCCAGCCTGGAAGCCCAGGCCCTCAGTGAGCAGCAGGAGGAGGCAGAGGGGGGTCAGTCCTGGCGGTGCAAGAGGCCGATGAGGGGGCCTTGGCTGGGGAGGAGAAAGACTGGGTGTCTTGCACGGACGAAGACCCATCTGAAATAGAAGGTGAGAGAGACACAGAGCTGTCCCAGGGAGAAGGGGATGTCACCTCTAATATCTGTGACAATGCCTCAGACCTAGGGAATGACGACGAGGGCCCCGAGACTCTTCCCCAGGAGGGGCCCAGCTCTGCCAGCAGCGTGGGCACAGAGGTGGCAGCAGAGGCAGCCCGTGACCTGCCCAGCCCAGCTCCTGCCTTAGTCAGTGCCATGGATGCCGAACGGGTAGCTGCTGCCCCGGTTGGAGCTGCTGAGGAGGAGGAGCCCCAGGGGCCTCTCTCTCCTGAGGAGGAAGAGGCAGAAGGTTCTCCACCCTTCGGAGAGAGGATGCCATCAGCAGGGACACGGAGCCAGATCCCTGCCCCACGGAGCCCCTCAGAGGGCAGTGAGGCCCTGCTGGACACAAACCAGTCTCATCACCAGTGAGATCATGAGCGAAGGCTGAGCTTGTGATCCAGGGATCCGGCCAGCAGCCAGAGGAACAGAGAAACCTGGAACAAACCACTGCGTGCAGACAACGGTGACAATAGTTCCAGCAGAAAGGACAGAAGAGCCCAGTCCCTGCCCCACAGAGCCCCACAGAGAGCAACCAGGCTCTGCTGGACATGGCCAAGCTCATCATCACCGAGATCGTGAGGAAGGCTGTGCTTGTGTTCCAGGGATCCGACGAACAGCTGGAGGAGCAGAGGGTCCCAGAAGAAAGCATGGCTACAGCAATGGGAACAACAATTACAGCAGAAGGGACAGAGAACCTGGTCCCTGCTCCGCACAGGCCCTGCAGCCCCCCCAGCCCCTCTACTGCCAGCCTGGAAGCCCAGGCCCTCAGTGAGCAGCAGGAGGAGGCAGAGGGGGGTCAGTCCTGGCGGTGCAAGAGGCCGATGAGGGGGCCTTGGCTGGGGAGGAGAAAGACTGGGTGTCTTGCACGGACGAAGACCCATCTGAAATGGAAGGTGAGAGAGACACAGAGCTGTCCCAGGGAGAAGGGGATGTCACCTCTAATATCTGTGACAATGCCTCAGACCTAGGGAATGACGACGAGGGCCCCGAGACTCTTCCCCAGGAGGGGCCCGGCTCTGCCAGCAGCGTGGGCACAGAGGTGGCAGCAGAGGCAGCCCGTGACCTGCCCAGCCCAGCTCCTGCCTTAGTCAGTGCCATGGATGCCGAACGGGTAGCTGCTGCCCCGGTTGGAGCTGCTGAGGAGGAGGAGCCCCAGGGGCCTCTCTCTCCTGAGGAGGAAGAGGCAGAAGGTTCTCCACCCTTCGGAGAGAGGATGCCATCAGCAGGGACACGGAGCCAGATCCCTGCCCCACGGAGCCCCTCAGAGGGCAGTGAGGCCCTGCTGGACACAGAGCATCCCATCAGCACTGAGGTCCGGAGCGAGCCTGAACTTGTGTTCCAGGGATCCGGCCAGCAGCCAGAAGAACAGAGAAACTTGGAACAAACCATGGGTGCTGACAACATGACAACAGTTCCAGCAGAAATGGAAGAGAGCTCGATCCCTGCCCCACAGAGCCCCTGCTCCCACAGCAGCCCCTCGCCTTCCCAGTTGGAAGCCCAGGCCCTCAGCGAGCAGGAGGAGGAAGTAGGAGGGGACTCAGTCCTGGCAGTGCAAGAGACTGATGAGGGACTCTTCACTGGGGAGGGCATAAAATGGAAATACTATATTGACCAAGAGATTTCCCAGTGGGAAGATGAGGGAGACCAAGAGCTGTCCCAAGAAGAAATCAACACATACCAAGAAGCGTCCCAGCGGGAAGACTGCATTGAGCAGGAGCTGTCCCCTGGACAAGTCAAGAGCTGCCAGGAATTGTCTGACTGGGAAGAATACAGCGAGGAAGAGGAGACCCAAGGAGAAGTGAAGAGCTACCAAGAAGTGTCCGACTGGGAAGAAAACATCGAGCAAGAGCAGTCCCAAGGAGAAGAGAGTAGCAGCCAAGAAGTGTCTGACTGGGAAGAACACAGCGAGGAAGAGCTGTCCCATGGAGGAGGGAAGAGCTACCAAGAAGTGTCTGACTGGGAAGAAAACATCGAGCAAGAGCAGTCCCAAGGAGAAGAGAGGGGTGGCCAAGAAGTGTCTGACTGGGAAGGATATAGTGAGGAAGAGCTGTCCCATGGAGGAGTGAAGAGCTACCAGGAAGTGTCTGACTGGGAGGACTACAGCGAGGAAGACCAATCTGAAGAAGTGAAAAGGGACTTAGAACTGTGTGACTGGGAGGACTACAGCGAGAAAGAGCAGTCTCAAGAAGTGAAGAGGTGCAAAGAACAGTCTGACAGGGAAGAATACAATGAGGAAGAGCAGTCCCAGGAAGTGAAGAGGTGCGAAGAACTGTCCAACAGGGAAGAATACAGTGAGGAAGAGCAGTCCCAAGAAGTCAAGAGGCACAAAGAACTGTCCGACTGGGAGGACTACAGCGAGGAAGAGCAGTCCCAAGAAGTCAAGAGGCACAAAGAACTGTCCAACTGGGAGGACTACAGCAAGAAAGAGCAGTCCCACAGAAAGGGCAGTAGCTCTCCAGAAGTGACCGACTTGGAAGAATGCAGCACGCAAGCGCAGCCCCAAAGAAAATTCAGTAACTACCAAGATCTACTGTCTGACTGGGAGGACTCTATTGCTGAAGAGCTGTCCCAAGATGAAGACTCCTTTGGCCAAGAGTTTTCCGACTGGGGAGACTACAGACCCTCAGTGCTCTCCCAATGGGAAGACGACAGCGACAGAGAGCTTGCACTGGCGGACTGGGAACACACGACCGTCCACAGCTTCGGCGCCAAGCCCTTGTTCCCAGAGGAGGATGAGTGGGAAGAAGTGAGCGTCCTGGAGCTGTCCCAAGGACAAGGCACAGAAGACAGGCTGAGAATTCTTGCAGAAGACGGGCTCCCAGTGCCCGTCCCTCTCGAGGCATGGGCTCAGCACCGGGCACCTGCCCCACGCACACAAGTGCCAGTCTGTGCCTCACCTCCCCCACTGGAAGCCCTGTCCACTGGAGGAACTGAAGCTTCGCCTGCCTTCGACGAGCAGACGGCAGAGACAGGGATACAGAGCCAGGTCCGTGCCCCACGGAGCCTCTGCTGCCCTCCCAGCCCCTCACCTCCCCAGCTGGAGGCCCAGGCCCTCAGCAGGCAGCTGGCTCTCCCCAGGAAACGTCTGTCCCGCTTCAGGCGGGCGCTCGGGGCTCTGCGCAGCCTGTTCTGCTCCTGCACGGTGGGACAGCCCCAGGATTAGGCCCTGCTCCAGCGCCAGGCCAGGCTCGGACACCTCTTCAGAACTTCCAATAGAGACGCTGACTCCACCACCCACTTGAGACAGTTCTTCCAGTACCTGACTACTCCTGCAGGGAATGAGCAAGACACGACCTATTGCTCCCAGAACCTCCCGGCAGGACAACAACACAATGGAATATTGAAAAACAAACAAAAGATTGATTAAGTTGGTTAACTAATTTAATTAAGTAAGCTACTTAAGTAATTAATTTATTAAATTAATAATTATTATTATATCTATTTACAATATTTAGATAGACTTACTGTGAAGATAGACTTCCATAGAATAGATAATACTATAGTTACATGTTATAATAATTATAGTTATAGGCCGTATAGACACGTCCTTTCAGTTAGGCAATAAGATTTAAAGAAGTTAGAAGAATAGGAAGATGTATTGTTAAATAAAATCTGCATTAAATAAAATCTGTGTCTTTTTTGCAAATGGTGTCATTTACACCTTAATTCGGGCAGAGGCATCTCTCCCTAATGGGATCAGAACACATGGGCTGGGACACCTTCCACCACACCAGCTTGCTCCAACCCCATCCAGCCTGGCCTTGGACACTTCCAGGGATAGGACAGCCATAGCTTCTCTGGGCAACCTGGCCCAGGGCCTCACCTCCCTCCCAGGGAACAATTTCTTCCAAAAAGTCTCATCTCCAAGAGTTCACTCCCTGGGGCCAGGCTGGAGTGTGTTCCTCCCCAGCAGGGCCTGCTGGAACAGCCTCGTGTGAGACACGCAGGGTTCCCCTCATTCACCCCCACCTAAGGCAGCAGGTGGGGCTGTGTGGTTCCTCACAGATACCAGGGGGATCACCTATAATGCTCTCAGACAGGATGTCCTAAAGGAAGCTGTCCTGGGAGAGCCAACATTCTGCAGCTCAAACCAGAAAAGGAATCCCAGAATCAGGAATGTTTCAAAAGAGTTCCAAGATCATTGAGTCCAAGCTGTGACCTCTCTGAGGTGGTTCCCTGAATCCCTGTAACTAAGAAATTGTTGTCCAATTTTTTGGTGTTTTAGGAATCACCTGGAGCAGTCTGAGCAGCTGTGTGCTGCTCCCAGTTAACACTGCCCAGCTTACCTGCTCCACAATGCCAAGGGCAGTGTATTTGGAGATGTTCCTTGGATCTTCCTTAAAGATCAATTCCTGCATGTCATAGTCCTGCCTGGGTTGCCAAGAGCAGCCTCCCGTGTGGACACACACCCACCCGCTTCCTTGCTTTGTCCCTCAGTCCTTACCCAGAGACCCTCAGGTGCCATTGTCAAGTGCAGCTGCAGACATTCGAGCCCGACCACAAATACTGGGGCTTGTTCCCCAATGGCTTTGGAACTTAAGGGACATTCTGGAGCAGCAAGGTATGGCCTCTTTCTCAGTTTCTCTCCTCTGCAGCTGGAGCGGGGCTGGCGGGAGCCGCTCTCCCCTCAGAGCCCCCTGAGGGCGCAGCAATGGCGGCCCCGCCCTCCCTCAGCACCGCCCGAGGACGGAGCAGCCGCCATTTGGTTCTGCTTGGCCACGGCCGCCCCCGCCGAGCCCGGGGACACTCCCGGCTTCAAGCAGCCGCCAGCGGCACTGCGGCTGAAGCGCAAAGGCCCGCGGAGGAGCGAACCCACCGCTGGCGCCGCTGCCCCGGCCCCGCGGGGCCCCTCAGCGCCCGCCCATCCCAACCCCTTCTGCAGCCTGGACAACGCGCCTCAGCGGGCAGTGGCCCCTCAGCCCCTGCCACCAGCCCCGCTGGACGGGCATCCATTGGCAGCGCCCTTCTGGCAGCTGGGACCAATCCCCAGCACATGGTTAAATAACTTTGGGAAAGGGGAATGGGTTTCATGGTAACTTTATTGACACTGTTTCTCTTCAGGGTGAAGAGTCCTTTCCCTGCTCCTGCGTGGGGTTCCTCCTGTGGCACACAGTTCCCCATTGTAATAAGTAGTAGTAGTTAAATTTACTCATCAAATTAGTAATAGTAGCTTACTCATTAAACTGTAGTGCATGTTATATTCATATATATATATGTCATTATAATCACTGTTCTGTTACGGGTAAGAAACTGTAAGTTGTAGAATGGTTCATTAATCTATCAGCATTGTAAGCTGAAAAAGCATGAAGTTTGCAGTTCCAAAGCTAGAAAGACAAAGCATTGTGCCTTGTTAAGTAAATATTTTTGTATCTTATTTTTCTAAAAAGCTTATTGTCTCACAATAAGCATAAAGTAACGAAAGAAAGGACAAGGATTGAAGAGTCAGGGACTGAAACGATACAGAATATCCAAGATGGACATCTGGAGATGCCTGCACACTAGGCCTCAAGGTCAGGGGACTGATTGGAACTATGGGAGGAGAAAGCACCTGGCAACCGAAGCGAGAATGCAGAGAGGTCAACCAGAATCAGACCTGAAAAGCTCAGATCTAATAGAAAAACAACAAGTGACAATGGGAGGGAAACCAATAAGGGAATAAAAGTTACTGTTTTTGTTCACTGTGCTTGCGTGCTGTGAGTGGAGCAGGAGACTCCCTGGTCGCACAGCATGCTGTTTTACTTATTTGCATTTTCTATAAATCTTCAATAAACTTTTATTACCATATTTCAACTCAGTTTCTTTTTACTTATAACAACATGAACTTCTCCTGCAGGAGTCCTTCCACAGGATCAGTCCTTAAGGAATCGAGCCAGTGGAGGTGCCTGTGGCAATGCAAGTTTCCTGGGAAATTACAAAGAAAATAAAGACAGAACACTGTTCAAATGACTTCAGAATTTGTGTATTTAAATTTGTAAGGCATGAGAAAAGAGTGTACAGCTCTCATTTTTGAGCTACTCTAGATATTTATGCATTTGAAAACTCAGGTACCACTTAGGGATGTGTGAGGAGGGACTGCTCAGCTCCCAACTCCAGCAGGAGAGTTCCCAGTTGCGGGTGGGAGGGCAGGTGTGTCTGTTCTCTCCAAAGGCAAACTAAACCTGTCCGTTGAACCCAGCTCACCAATAACTGGGATCCAAACACATTTGCCCCAGGACTGTGCGGCCTGAAGGGCAAAGCCTGCACAGACACACTCTGAGCCTGACCATTGCCAGTGAGGCAATACCTTTGTTAGGAAGCAAGCACAGTTCTGATGTGGGCAAACAAGCCCTTTGTGGCTGCTTTCACCTGTATTTGGTCCACCCAAAAATCTTTCAAAAGGCAACTTCTAAGTGTTCCACTGAGGAAATGGGAGCGGCCAAGAGCTGCACCCGTGGGAAGAAGGTGGGACAGTGCGAGAGCTCAACCTCCGGGGAGAAAATGAGAGTCAAGGGCTGCAGCAAGGGGAGGTAGATGGGAGAAGAAGAGAAGTTGCCCCATGGGAAGAGGGGAGAATCCCAGAGCTGTCCAGGGGGATGATGAGAAAGACCAGAGCTATCATAAGGAGACATCAACAGATACCAAGTTTTCCAACAAGCAGAAACCAAAATTGAGCCTGAAGTTTTTGAAGATAAGTATTTCCATGCCAAAATTATTATTTCATTTCATCCTCTATTGTTCACTCTATGGTCCAATGCCAGAAGAAAAAAAAAATAAAAAAAAGGGAAAAAACCCTTGGGTACCTCCAGGACACTTTGTTCTCTTTGAGAGGTCATTTTTTTGTCCTTCTTATTTACTTTTGACTTCGGTTCCTGGAGCAAGAACATTAGGCATTGCCTGTTGACCCTCTCTTTCAATTCCAGGGGCTAGTTTTCAGGAACTCTCTCTTTCTTATGTGCCTGATGAAGCCGCTCCATTTCTGTAGCTGAATAACAGACTGGAGCAGATCTATCACTTTGAAGAACATCCTTCTCTCCACTAAAGAGAAAACCAAGAAAACCAAGAATCAGGAACCTTAGAATAAACATATTAATTAAACAGAAAGACTACAACCTCTGTCCATGGAACTCCAACAGCAGTGAGGTCAGGCAGGAGGCTGGTTTGAGAAGACTCACCAGCACAGTCCATGTCAGTCTGAGACATTGTCTTGAATACTGACATTTTGGTAGGTTATTTTATAGAGCCAAATGCCAAGTTGAGCAGTTTCAGCTTTCTTTGTGCCCTGTGAACAGCTCACATCTTTCCAGCCCTTGGTGCTGTTTCATACCTTGGTTAGGGTGAGATGTCAGCTCCTGCAGCGGGCTCTGCTCTCCAGGGGGGCTTCTCTTCACAGGCAGGCTCTAAAAACAGAACAGAAGAGCAGCGTAAGGTCTAGAGCAAGGGAAGCACCAGGCAGAGCATTTTAAAAACCGCCCTTGTAGTAAAATTTCACGCCTGTCCCAAGCACAGCTGAGAATTAGGTCCCGCTCCAGTACCAGGCCGGGCCATGTGAGTGGGCAGTGGCTGAGAGCAGAGGGGCGATGTCTGAGGGCGATGACATGGACTGCAGTGGTTGAGGGTGAGGGCTCTGAGGGCCAGGGCTCTGATGGCAAGGGTGCCGAGTCCCCTCTCTGTGTCTCCCCTCACCTCTCTGGTACCACATGGAGAGAGTCTGGACCTGGGGCTTGGACCCAGCTGCCAGAAGGGCGCTGCCGATGGATGCCCGTCCAGCGGGGCTGGTGGCAGGGGCTGAGGGGCCACTGCCCGCTGAGGCGCGTTGTCCAGGCTGCAGAAGGGGTTGGGATGGGCGGGCGCTGAGGGGCCCCGCGGGGCCGGGGCAGCGGCGCCAGCGGTGGGTTCGCTCCTCCGCGGGCCTTTGCGCTTCAGCCGCAGTGCCGCTGGCGGCTGCTTGAAGCCGGGAGTGTCCCCGGGCTCGGCGGGGGCGGCCGTGGCCAAGCGGAGCCCGGAGGAGCCGCGGTCCTGTCTCGGAGCCAAAGGGCGCCCGCTCCGTCCCCGGACGGTGCTGAGGGAGGGCGGGGCCGCCCTCAGGGGGCTCTGAGGGGAGAGCGGCTCCCGCCAGCCCCGCTCCAGCTGCAGAGGAGAGAAACAGAGAAAGAGGCCATACCTTGCTGCTCCAGAATGTCCCTTAAGTTTCAAAGCCATTGGGGAAACAGCCGCAATTGCTGTGGTCTGTCTGGAATGTCTGCCCTGCACTTGCTGAGAACGGAGAAACTCATTGCAGGAGTGAGCTGTAAGTCCGAAAACTGCCGTTTCAACTGCCATGACAGTTAGTAGCCAATCAAATGCTGCGGTTGTTATAAGTTACTAGGAATGCCTGGGACAAATTAAAGAGGTCAATTTATAATAACAAGTAAATTTATTAACAAGCAATAGATAAGCAAAACCGACGCGTCGGGGCGGCCGCGGGAACAAAAGCTCTGCAGGCTCCCCCAGAGCACCCTTTTGTATAGTCCTGCTTCCTCATACGTATTCCTCGGTTGTGTTTTCCGCGCATGCGTGGCTCGGTGGGTCAGGGGTCTCACTCCTCGGGGCTGGGGTCTCTGTGATGAAGGCTCAAGGTCTTCCTCCGTGTTCACGGAATGACCCTGTGTTTTGCTCATGCTCTGTAAGAGGTATTTTCCTCCTCCCCCTGTTTTATCAACACCTGTTTGTCATCCTGACTCTGTTATTTCCAGATAAGCAGGTCTGCATTCCCAGCTCCTAGCAAGATTAGGCTTATCGCTGAGTTATGCCAGCTATGTATAGCTTTTACGAACAAAGTCCAGCTAGTTTATCACAGCGGTAACAGTTTTTATCTTATAAGGTATGCTTGCCTGTTGGTGTAGGGTTATAAAAGGGGGCTGGGACCCCAATAAACTTGTCTCAGCTTCACCCCCTGAATCCATGCCTCAATAGGCCACACTCACCTGCTGCCTTAGGTGGGGGTGGATGAGGGGAACCCTGCGTGTCTCACACGAGGCTGTTCCAGGCAGGTCCTGCTGGGGAGGAACACACTCCAGCCTGGCCCCAGGGAGTGAACTCTTGGAGATGAGACTTTCTGGAAGAAATTGTTCCCTGGGAGGGAGGTGAGGCCCTGGGCCAGGTTGCCCGGAGAAGCTATGGCTGTCCTATCCCTGGAAGTGTCCAAGGCCAGGCTGGATGGGGTTGGAGCAAGCTGGTGTGGTGGAAGGTGTCCCAGCCCATTAGGGAGAGATGCCTCTGCCCGAATTAAGGTGTAAATGACACCATTTGCCAACAAGACACAGATTTTATTTAATATAGATTTTATTTAGAATAATTGTGAGTTAAAGTGATAGGTAGAGATAATGGATACTTAAATGGAAGTGACAGTAAATCTTCCTAAATCTTCTGTCCTTTATTCTATAATTCTTATCATCTAACTGCGCCAATCTATATGTCCGATAAATATGATAACTACTATAAGGTGTAAATACACTATTATGTATATGTGGAGTCAGCTTCTGTGTTGGAAGCTCTGAAGAGGGGTCCAGGCCTGGCCTGGCGCTGGAGCGGGGCCTAATCCTGGGGCTGTCTCGCCGTGCAGGAACAGAGCCCCGAGCACCCGCCTGAAGTGGGACAGACATTTCCTGGGGAGAGCCAGCTGCCTGCTGAGGGCCTGGGCCTCCAGCTGGAGAGGTGAGGGGCTGGGGTGTCACAGTTTTGTTAAATGGGGAAGGAGCAGACCAGCGTGGGGTTTTGCCTAGCCTGCAGGTGTTGAAGCAGCTAAAAGCAATGGCTAGCAGGTGCAGCTCACGTTAGTGTGCAGTCACAAATAAGCAGACAGACACACAGAGCTGGTAAATGCAAGAGCAGCCAAAGCTGATCTGAATTTATTTTAACAAGATGGTGGTTTTTATAGAGAAGGGTATGGAAAGGTCCAGAAAGAGGGTAGGACTTGGGCGGAGCATGCAAATCCACTTACACTGAATGGTCAGAGGATAATACATCAGGAGGTGGAAACATGGGTGGTAACAACCGGGAAGAACATGATTGGTCAGTA